AATTGACCCACTAAATGACTAACTGATGCTGTATGATAGCGTTGATCTGGCACTACTATTAACTCAGTTATGTCGACAGCCTCAATGATAGATACACGATTATTTTCTCGAAAGTGTTTCACTTGTAGACAGAGTAGTGCAAAGTCAACTTTGGCATGGTGGCATACCACTGTTGGCAAGTCACTACTTTGGACAGAGGACAGAACAAGAATGCAACCAGGTAACAGATTAGTGTTTAGGGACGAACCATTTCTGCATACATGAATCTAGTTTTGCGCGAACTTTTGAACTATTTTGACTTGCCAGATAATGAGTGAAGACCAAAATTCTTCCACTGTAATATTCTTGCCTCCAGTTTGTGAGCCTTCCTACGTATCCACTCCAGTTTATGCTTAACACCGTATTATTTTACTTAATTTGATCCAAATGGCAAAATTTGTGCTGCTTTCCCCTTATGCACAACACATAAAAGAAGCAGTATGAGCTATGAAGGTGCGAGGCTTATTTAACAAATCTGAATGCTAATAAACCTTTTAAGTACCTCCGAATTACATAGCAATTCCAATAGAAATGTGTTATTGCAAATAACATGATTATCGAAGGTGGATGAGGGAAGGGGGGAAATGTTTCTAAATAACAGCCTGGCTCAAATGCCATAGCAAAGAGCAGAAGTTCAATCTGAGAGGTTTGGGTTGTACACGCACTCAAATAAGACGTCAAGTTGCGTGCTACAGAAGGGTAACAAATAAAAGTACAATGTTAGCAGCCAATAGACAGAGTGTCCATGTAATTTTATAAGACCATCTACACACCCATCGTTTAGTCGAGACCACCCCACTCGTGAGGCAGGTGTCATGACTTTAAATGGTGCATCAGAATCGTTGTTTTTGTTCCATGACACTACTAAATCCTGTTCAAACTAAATATGAATTGTAATAGATGCAAAACGTGGTATACCGTAATAATAAGTGCAGGGCAACGCCAAGGCAATTACACGACACATATGCCATTGTAAATTGTTAACATTTTTATAAATGTGTACTTTACTTCTGTAGAAAAAAGGCTTTGAAGCTATGTGCTATGCATTCCGGGTAGTTAGCAGGTACTGTATTCTTAAGTCCTTTTGCCTCTTTTATAGGCTGCATCAACATTTCGCCTAAATGAACTAGACTCTCACAGCACTTGCTTAAAAACCTACCTTACAGCGTTATCCTTAAATAAGACCCATAGGACGCCAGCGGTAGTTTTGAATGCTATCACTAAAGCGGAACATTTGCAGTCAGTAAGTCAATTAAAATCCACGCATTTTAATGAAAATCATGCGCTGCATTAGCAAGAACTCGAAACAGTTACCTTTTAGAAGGGGTTCTACCTTTGACATTAACTTGCATTCTGTAAGCAAGTAGCACTAGCTGGTAATGCTTTAGTTTGCATTAAATCCCTTAGTTAGGAAATAGTGAAGTATTCACATGGTTTGTCGAACTATCGTAAATAACAAAACAGGGCTGTTAAGGAGGTGTCAATTAGGAGAAGATAGCTTCCTGCTAGATAAACTAACTTATCCTGTTGTCAGCATTAACATCTTTTAAAACGTTTCTTACAAAATCTGCAGGTACGGAACGGAACCGCGTAACGCAATCAGCCATTTCACCTATATGACTTGCCGCCAAACTGGAAAGCACAAATTTCTCTACCTTCTTGCGATTCGCGTCGGGACAGAGGACTTTGGGCTAGGTTTCCAAAGTGAAAAACAGCGATGCACTCGGTAGCGTCTTCATTTATTTAATTTCATCCAATGAGCATGGGCTAGTCGTCTGCAGTTCTTTCTTTGCCCATGCCACAAGGTGCATTGTTTTCGATATGCGGCCGCTTTTTCATCCCAACTACTACTTCATGCACACGTGGCTAGTCATCGTTGGATAAAATAAGTATCACTGACATGGCCTGAATAGAGAAGCACTTAATTTTTGGCATGTTCCTAAGTTTCTGCACATTAATGAGCAGATTGTGAAGAGTGAATAGCAAGGAAAACGAAAACTACAAAATTCTGATGGCAGGACATTCCAGTAGAATGGGAGAAATTTCAGTATAGCCCCGTTTTTGAGCCAGAGAAAAAGCGGTTTCATTAGTTACCCTGAGCACGGCACTTATGTCTGCTCCTAAACAAAATGATGATGATGAAGTCTGTTAGGTGACAACAGATAAAGTGGTCAAGTGTTGCCAGGTTGATATGCTCCATCCAGAAGACACGCGCATGAAGATAAAACTATGGGGAAGTGCTAATTACCTGCAGTTATGAGAGCTCTAACCATATCTACATTTCGTCTTCTCGTAGCGACCATAAGTGGAGTGTAGCCATGCTGATCAACGTCTTCAACATTTGCCCCTCGATAAAGAAGAAGACAAACGATTGACTCGTTACCACCACAAATTGCTGCATGGAGAAGCTGCCCCATGGGCTAGCAAAATTTGTACCACTGTCATATGTTTGCCGTACGCGGCCTGTCCTAGAGAAGCATATAGTTCCCTCCTCCACCACAGTTAAAATGAGCTTCAATAATGCAACGTTACCCTAAGCGGAAGCACTAAAGCTGACAGTTTGGGAGGAAAGTCAAAACAATGTGCACTGTTATAAAGTGATGTCGAAATAAGTCGAATAGTCATCACTCTCAGAAGTAAAGAATAAACGCAGTCGGGTAGTCACAAACCATAAGAGAGACAAAAGTGAGGGCCGATTCAGTGCGGTGGTTCAATTCGGGCGTCGTGGACGCACCTCGCCAGATCGGATATCTCACAACATTAATATTTCCGAGGTAAACAGCACGCATTAGGGCCGTAAATTGAGAGGAATTGAAGCTATCCTTGGGGATTCTATACTGAAGGAGAAGATGCACACAATATACGTTGCCTGTAATTGCTGCCCAATGAAGCGCCGTATTGCCCAGTGCATCAGTAACAGTAACTGATGCCCCGTGGATGAGGATGATGTGCATTGCCCTTTCAGAACCACGCATGGCAGCCTCTAAGAGATGAAGCTCGCCATCTTCACACCGAGTTACGTTTGGATCAGCTTATTGTACGCAACGGAGAAAGGATAGTGCTTGCAAACACAGTAAATGTGGAAGATGCACACTTTCTCATTGATCGAATATTTTGCATTTTTTTATAATGGGGATTCGGTTGACTCAGAGGCGCAGAACATCTACGTCCTAAGTGTGCTGGAAGATAAAATGACAAGAGATATGCAAGAGATGGGCATTGACCATCTACAATTATTTTCAGAAAATAGGCGATCTTAACTGCTTCAAACCTACAGCTAAATATGAAAGAGCAAATGAGCTTGAAATAAAGCTAAGACAATGAACTAATGCCCTTTCGAAATAGAGAATGGATGGTGTCGGATTGTCGGATCTGATGGCCTCCGTCACTGCTCTCCGGTAGAAGGACTAAAATTATTCATTAATCAGGAAACAAGAAATTTCGTCAAAGGCATCAAAGTTGCAACACCTTTGGTAGCCAAAAAAAGGAATTAAATCGCATGCTTCATCACTTACACGCATCCTAGGACATGTTGATACTACCAAAGTGCAGCTCTTGATTGCTATTCACGAGTTTAACCTTTTCAACTGGAAATATTTCAGTTCTTCCATTTGTGATTAATAAACTTTGTTACAAGTTCTCAAACAGAATGCGATATTTACTCTAGGCAGCGTCAAGTTTTAAAATAGAAGGATTCTACTTTCCTATTTTAGCTGATTGGCTAAATCTAATTGGA